AAAGTGGTAGTTCATTTTTATTGGGCAGTCAAGATTTAATAGCATATACTACTAAACTAGGCATGTTATAAGTGTATATATATATGTTGTAGATGTACGTAAAAGGGTAAAGGATAAAGCTCTCGGTATTGACAAATCGCCGTGGGATGCTCCATGCATTAGATTTCGTTAAGCATCGTTTGGAGGTGATTGAATGCACATCTGGCCTTTACAATGACTCTTTGTGGCTTACCGATGTGTCGGGCCATTGCTGCTATCCTCCCAGACAAGTCTGGTACCAATTTGCTTACCCCGATGGGATGGAAGGCTTGCTGGGCTGTGGACGCGGGGATTGATTCTACGTGTGTGTTGCAGAGCGCCTCCGACCACTGCGCTACACGCGCCGTTTTATATACATATATATATATATATATATATATATACGTATATGTATACTTGCCTTTAGTGTACTTTTATTATTTTGCGATTTCATTTGTTATCTTCGTATTATTTGTAGCTCATGGCATATTTTTTACATATTTTATATGCATTATTTTATAGGTTTAACGATACCGTTAGAACTGTCAATAAAGCTTTGCGCTAATATTTCGGTTCAGCGCGTAAATTACGCGTGAAATTGCAAATTGCCAATCTAATTCACCATCTTTGCCTGCGAAATATCCCATATGTTTAACAAGCTAATCCATTAAATACCCATCATATAGGACGATTATGTAATCCAATTTGCTAAACAATTTGATTGCTTTAGGTTTCTCGACCTTTCAAAAAGCGCTCGAGAACTTTTTATGAGGATAACCTTGCGGAAGCCATGGTGGATGATGGTGGCTAAACTAAAAGAAAGGTTTTTATTGATGGATTATTTTTGATGGAGTTTTAGTTTAGCTATTGATAATCGAAGTTCGTTAGAAGTTGTTGTCTAGGTATACTGAGTTATCATCTTCGATCGATTCGGCTCTGCTGGAGTTGGTAGACAGCGGTTTGTTCGATAGTGAGTTCTTACGATAATAATAACTGGCGAATTATTAGTGCTCCTTAATATTTTCAATAAAGTTCTGGATCTGTTGTTAGTGACTTTGTGGGCAGTGTTAATTTGTTTATTGAAATGTTTTAGGTGAGAGAAGCCTCTCAGACCTTAATGAAGCCTTGAAGATCTCTCCTCTTCCCGTGTTGAGAATTGTAGCGAAGAAATACCAACTTGATATCACTAAAGTAGTTTCTAGTCTGTATAGCTTGTAACTAGTTGGTCTATTTGGTTTTTTACTACTCATATTCTTACGAATTATTTCAGGGAAAAATCGATTTGATTTCTGCATTAACTAATTTCGCCACAACCCAGAAGGGTCTGTTTGGCCAGATGAGTACAGTAGCCGTAGCTATGCTAAGGACGTGCGTTACACCTCCTCTCGAATACCTTTTACCCATTATTTTCCAGTTCTACGTCCATTCAAAATATTTTCGTTCTATGTCAAAATTCAATGGATTGAAACTGAATTTTAGAATCAAGAAGGAACTAGGTCCGTGCTATCGAGTAAATCGAAATGCTAACATGCTATTCAAGGTTTGTGATATCATTTTGATGTATTTTCACTGTGCTAAACTTCTTTTGCTGAAAGGTTTTGACTTTGAGTAGTGTTCATACTGGGTGGCTTTACTTGAGTATTGCTAGCAAAAGGTTGAAGTGTTTTTTTTAATCGATTACTTGGACAGTTGTATGGCCTGTTTTCGATTGTTGTACGAGCCCTCGCATAGTTTCCATTTTTCGGAGTTTTCCTGGTTTATCCACTATGGTTCCTTGAAGTCCCCAGGTCAGCCTAGCCAAAGTCTTTCCTAGGTCGCCACCACCATAGGCAGTCGCAGTCCTTGTGGATCAGATGGGGATTTGTCACCATGTGACTCGTTTGATACCAACACGGTGGCGGAACGTGGTATTTGTTTATTCTTACATAGAATTCCTGATGGAAATGCCGGACTCCTCCACTTGGAAGATGCTACTGGGAGGACGAATGCACCCACTGTACATCACACTCAAGAACGTCTCCCGTCTACGATGAGGCGGTAAACCGTGGGAAGCAAAAAAGAACAAAACAAGTGTTGTTTAATCGATTAGGCAGGAGAAGTTATTGAATGACGTTCTGATTTATTAACATTGGTAGACTGATCACTGCAGTGTTACTACCGGCTATTTGGCTACAGATCTTTAGATATTTGATATAGATATTAGATACATGCATTTGTTCAATGCAAGAAATAAAGATAACTAAGGCAATTCTTTGTATTCTTGCTGAGCAAACGCGAGGTATTGTTTTATTCTTTATTCACGAACAAGCTGATTTTTCGGCTGATTTCGCCTTCCTCGGAGCCTGGAAAGGTCAATCAAGTTAACACCAATCTATTCAGCCAAGCACTTCCATAACCAAACAGAGAAAACGCTAAACCAAAATTTCAATCACACTGAACACATAACAGCTTCTTTGCACACTCACAGCTTTCTATGAGTCTTCCGGTGAGTACGTCGCGTGAAGACCCACCGCAGAGAAATCACATGGAAGTATAATGTGCTCCTCCCATCAGAATAGCAGTCTTATATACTGCCCTATATCACGCGTGGTAATGAGGTGTTGTTTTATGCGGACACAGAGTGATCTGCCCGTTTCGCAGATGTATTCATCTCCGCACGCCTTACAGGAGGTCAGATAAACTGTACCCTAGCTCAAGCAATCATCGTCTCTACCATTAGGGCAAATTATGCAATTCTTCGTTGCACATAGGCGGTCATATAGGCGGTTACGAACTAGCTGGCGCCTAGGAGTACTCGGTGGCATTTCAACTACGTTTAACAAACTCTCTAGACCCGAGAGTAGCATAAACGGGACCTTATCGTCGCTAGAGTTATTGTTGGGGTACCTGTGGTTTCCTCTACACCTATCTTGAGCCACAGTTTCGTAGCCATTAGAATTGGCTATTTACCGTGCCAAATTCCGGGACTCATCTCTCTGCTCTATTCCCATGCACACGTTGGTTGTTGTTCGAAACATGTTTCTTACAAGCGCCCTTTTCCTGTGATTGGAGTGAGAGGAGAGGTAATGAAACAAGGTGTTTTTACTACTCGGATTTTGGTACCATTTCGTAATGTAGCCATTTTCTGAAAGGTTAATTTGAACGTTCAGGAACGGAAGCCAGTTTTCTTTCGGTTTCTCTCGGGTGAACTTGATATACTCTGACTGTTTGTTCAACAACTCGAAACATTTGTCCATTTCCTCTTGTGTTGAGCAAAGGACAAAATAGTCGTCTACATATCTTCAGTAGAGTAATGGCCCGAGATCGGTCATTGGTGCTTCCGCATTAGACATAAACGCAATGGCAAGTCATATGTTACGGAGTTATTAGCTTTCAGGCATTGTTTACCTTATATGCTCCCATGGAAATGTGCTCTACCTTAGTAGTGGATCAGCCCAGTCTCAATGTTTCACAAAATTTGTTGTGGGTTTCGTATTCACGTTTGTACAGCAGATCATGTTGTGTGCTGAGTTTGATACCTTTTTGTATGAATGCCGGTTTTTTTAGATTCACACTTCTACGTATGGATCAACGTGCAGTGCATTTCCCAGCACCAAATCCTTGCGAGAATATTATTTCAATATTTGACAGTAAAACCGAACTGATGGAGTAAGTTAATGTGCTCTTTCTTGATGAAGGTCGTTGCTGTAATTCTTCAAATTCGAAAGTTTCGTCTTATAAATAAACTTACTCGGATGTCGTATCATTACATATCATGCAGACCCAGCATAGTTTCCACTAGATTGATACCTTGTTCGTTGAGCGCAGGTTTTGTCACAAAATAGTCATGGTATTCGTGGTAGTGTGTTCTTATCTGTAGACAGACGTCAACGCTTTCGGATTGTATGAACGTTTTTCACTTTATTCCCACCTTACATAAGTTTTTCTTTGTTCCAGTATTGCCCGTAAGTTTTCTCAGCATATATGGTCCTGGCAATGAATGAATTTTTCCTGAATGTCGCAGTGAGCCATCAAAGAACGCCTCTGATCCACAGTAAAATCACAAATCTCTTAGACTTGGAAGTATACTGATTTTGCATTGCAGAAATTGCAGGCATTTTGATCACCATGGTGCTTTGTTTCTATATCCGTAATTTAAGAGATAAGAACTTGTTTTTCCAGTCGTTTTTAGTTCCATCTGTTTGTCTTCAAATGTACTTTTTACCAACTTTTTTTTCAAAATTATTTCCAGCATAATCGCCGAATGCACTTGTCAGATTTTCTGACTTTTACGGATAATTTGGTATAGCGGAAAATCGCGTAGTTTCTTCCAACAATATCTCAAATTCTTAAGTGTGAAATGTCTAATATCTCCACTGTATTATTTGGCGAATTTTTGTCTCCGTATTCTTCCACATTGTTGGATCAATTAGTGGTTGGTTTGGCGGTGAAAGAATCCCTAGATGAAGCATTAATATTTCGTTTGGCATCATATCCACTCTTCTACTGTGTAATCACGCGGCTACCACGTAGATTCCTGCTGAAAGAGAGATTGAAAAATAGATTTCAAACTAAAGGCATTGAATAAACTGTTACGAAATAAAGCAAATTCCGTGCTTTAAAAATTTGTGTAGAGTATTGTTGTTGTTGTTGTTGTTCGATGACTGACGTTTCGGCGATTTCGCCTTACTCAGATCCTTTTGATATGCTGTTTAATTATACCAGAAGGATCTGAGGAGGGCGAAATCACAGAAACGTCAGCCATTGAACAGTGGCAACGACAAAAACTAGTACAAACCTCGCATCAGTTCAGTATATGTAGAATGTTCATAACTTGTAGAAAAGTTATGTCAACCAAAGGAAAGACTTTCATAATGCGAAATGGCACACATTTAGAAAACACGTTAGCGCAGCAGTTGGAGGCATTCCGTAATCTTCGTATATGCCGGAAGTATAGATAACGCAGAACAACACATCTTTAATCTTTGTATAAATTTGTATATATGAATATATATTTATACATATATATGTGTGTGTACTCTGTGGACTATTTTAGATATGTTGAGGCAAAAGAGATTGAAACAAAACTTATTGGATTTCTTAATAACAATAAATTTGCGGAAGCTTATGAATGTGCATCCGAAGCTCGTGAAAAGTTAACAAATACTTGCGAGGAAAGGTACGTAGTTATGCTTATGCACTATTTCTTGGTGTTTTTTTAAATCTGCTTTAGAGTGTATGCATTTTCTTTTCGGCTTTTTATTTCTTGCCAGACTTCTCTTGAGCAGATAGCTCTCTGTCAAAAATCTTGGTGTTGGGTTTAATTCGAGAATATGTATATTTTACATTTCCAAACGACTTTGTTGATCTGGCAGAGTCCCGCTGCGTGAGATTATTGTTGGCTTAAGGATACTAAAGTTTTACTCTTCCATGCACAATGAAGTTCAGCATTTAAGGATACTGTTTAACCATCTAAAGTGATAGATATTTGGGAGATTGTACAGATGTAAATGTAGTGCAGATATTATTCGTCGCGTGGTCACCAGTATTGAAAGGTCTGTTGAACGTGCTTCCAAAGAGTATATTTCAGGCATTGAAACACTGAAGATTCTTCAGAAAGAGATTTAGAAAACAATTCTAAAATCTCCTATCACTGGTGTTGTCAACGTACTCAAGAAGATTTCTATAATCTGCAACTTTTTAGCTCATTTTTTCATTAAAGTTTGCGATTTTGCAAGTTCACGAAATTCAGTCGTTGGTCTCCAAAATTCTTATCAAGAATGACCTTAGTGGTCCAACCAAAAACTTGAAAAGCTAGTAGATTTCAAATAATGTAGAGTAGTGGAACATCAATCATGTCCAAAAAAGAAAATTGGAGAAGTTTAAGCCGTGCGAAAGCAGCAAGCCTTCCAATTTTTCTACGTCGTTTCACAACATTTGAAGTTTTGATGCGATGCACAATGCATGGAGCTGGAGTATTGGAGCGTCAGAAGAAGTATGCCATAGCCATCAGCTGGCAACGGTTTTTGCTCAAAACACCTGGTTAGTTTCTAGCCTTAAGGTCTGGCTAAAAGGATGTTGAGAAACCAAAGATTATGTTTTCCGTTTGACAGTCTTGGCACATTTATTTCAATTCATGTGATCACAACTAAATTTGTTCCATAGTTATCACTGGAAGAGCTCACAACAGAAATACGATATGCTTTTGTCCTCTCTCTGCGACTTGTTTTATGTTGTTTGTTTGAACTACTGAATAGAATGTAGTAGACTCGTTGTTTAAGGATATAGTGCGAAGATTTGTAAGTTTCATGTGTTTGCCTATGATTCACTTATGTAGATAATTATATTGTTTAGAACTAAGGCCGTTTTGTTCGAGTCATCGTGGTGCGTTGTGGGATCGACTGGCTCTAAATTTAGATGCACATATGAAAGAGCGCGAAGAAGCTTTATGTGAGATTGAGGAGGGGATGAACGATGACGCAGTGGCCGCCAAGGACATGCTTATGTTGCAGGTATTCTACCCATATATTTATAACATTTACTTCAAGGATGAGATGAGGTGCATGGTTAGATGTGCCATTCAAAACAAACATGACCGTTGCTTCCTGTACACCCTGGTCCACCAAAGCCCAAATCTTCTTGCGTAGTCGGCAAATTGGTACCAGAAGTCGTTGTGATTAACTCACTTTGATCCACAAAGGTCGGCAACTGAAACTGGTGAACTTTTCGGAACTCTGTAGCAGAATGGCTTCATGAAATATGACGATCGATCATTATTCACCGATATTTTTGGAGAACATAAAATCCTCCAGTTGTCGCCAAACGAGCACGAAAATCTAAAAATCTCCATGGTTTGCTAAAACAAGATAAAATAGGAGAAGTGCTATCTCTGAACTGTGTGAGGACGGTCGCGTGAGCACATAGTAAGTATTTAGCTTAACTATTGTTAAAGTTTTCTCTATGAATCCAGTCAATTCAAGATATTAAGTCAAGACACCGTACTTGGCGATTCCAACTACTATATACTAAACAGAAAATCGGAGGAAGTGTTGTTGAATTATTGAACGCCTCGTATTACAACGCCCCCCTCTGAATAAAACTGCTTTTTAGGATCGAGCCATAAAAATATCAAATCGTGATTTCCTCGAGAGAATTGTAGTCATGGAACCATTTAAGGCTAGTTTCATTTTCGTTCTTATATAGAAAAAGCGCTGAGAATTAAATTCAAGTGAGAGTTTTACTGATTTCAGAAAGAAATCTGCGGAGTTGTCTTATCTAAAGATCTGGGCGACTCGCGCGTGAATCGGTTTGTACTAAACGACTCTGATGGCCACTGTGTGGAGTGTAGTGTTGAAGAAGTGGTTCGGAAGCATTATATAGAATTCGAAGAATTCAATAGTGGCAAGTTGAATAGCTGAATCTGCATTTTTGTGGTTTGAATGGTATTTGTTCCTGAAGAGGATAGTATTTTGTGAAAAATTTTGTGAAACTTGAAAAAGTGAAGACTTTACTTCCACATTGAAACACCATTTATTGGAGCAGGTTTTGGCAGAATTTCTTATTGTAACGATATGAATGCCGTTACCAAACCGACTTTCACTTAATAACCTCGACATGAATGATCAATATCGTTGAATTGTTCAACTTACACAAGATTGTTAAATAAGTTCTATTCGGTTAAAGTTTCCACGTCTTCGTCTTCCTCAGAGCCGATGATCCCAGTCCATGTCCACGGTTATTCGTGCTCTCCATGTGGTGTATTTGATGTCGGATCGAGTCGAATCTGCTTTAGTGGACCACCACTTAAATGAGATAACCCACCTGGCATCGCTGTTTTATAAAATACAATTGTTGATTAATTGTCGTCTCATACCTACTTGGATACTTGGACTTGTCCCAACTAGTTCTGTGGACCCTAGCGTAATCTCCATTTTTCGAAATTTCGCTGGTCAAACCATATTCCTTGGGGTTCCGAGATCAGCCAGGCCAAACTCTGCCCTAGGTCGTCACCACCACAGGCAGTCGCAGCCTTTATGGATCAGGGAGAGATTTCCCATCATGCGACCAGTGTGATGCCAGGACGGTAGTCGATAATGGTTTATTTATTTATATGATCTTATAAACTGATCTTCTTAAGCTGACGCAAGGTTGGTACAGGTTTTCGTTGTCGTTGTCGTTGTTTTGGATGTTGTTCGTCGATTGCTGACGTTTCGGCGATTTCGCCTTCCTCAGAGCCGTGATGTTACGTGTGGAACTCTTGTACACACATTTGTTTAATAGTGAAAACATTTCGTTTTGTGTGCAATTTATGTCCCACACGTAACATCACGGCTCTGAGGAAGACGAAGTCGCCGAAACGTCAGCCATCGATCAACAACATCAAAAACAGCGACAACGACAACGAAGACCTGTACCAACCTCGCGTCAGCTTAAGAAGATTACTTTATAAGATCATATAAATAAATATATCAACTATCTATGCCGAGGTTTATAGAAAGTCGGTCTTTCGAGGTATTGGTTTACTTTTAGCTAGACTTCCAGATGGTAAAGCCGGACTCCTCAGTTTGGGACACCTTGCCTAGGGGATGAATCTCCCGCTGTACATCACAGCGCGGGATCCATGAACACCTCCCAGCTACGTTGAGGCGGTAAACCTTTGGCAGATGTCGACTGATGATGATTTCTTTTCATGTCGACAATCCAGCCTGCAGCAGTAGGTATTAGAATAACTAGCACAAGGCGTAATAATAACGTACTAAACCGTCTTTCGCTCAACCTTAGCATGGATAATCGGTATATCTGTTTAAATTATTCAAATTACACGAGGTTGTTATGTAAATTTTATTCGGCTGTAAAATTTAGGGACATATATAGATTGTTCACGCCGAGATTAACTGGAAGTCGATTTAGTAACAGTATTATTTCATTACGTGTTAGATATTCTAATACCGACTGCTGTAGAGTGGATTACCTACATTAAAAGAAATCGTTATCAATCGACAGTCAGTCAACAGGGTACATATAGCAGAGTAGTAGTGGTGCTGATCGTCATGAGTATTGTGCTGCTTTGAACCCACTCAGGGCTCTTCAAACCTGTGATCCCTCCGGGGTTGGGAAATTGGTAGCGGATTTGTCCGAGAAGAAAATCGCTCTTCGCAATCCAGTTGGGAACGCTCCAATCGGACTATCTCAGGACTCCAAGGAGAATCGACTCGACCAGCATTTTCTCACATGCGAGGTGAAATGGAAATTCTCATGCAACAGCTGAAGCCACACGTAAAACTTAGAAGACCTTAGTGGATTATGGATGCGAGAAAATCAAAAGAATGTGAGAGGCGCTGGGATCCGCACAGTAGATGTGAAGGACATGTCGGTGAACAATCCTCGCTGCCGGGTGCGGTTGCCTAATTTGAGTGGTGCTTCCATTGAAGACGATGCGACTCGAAACGACGACGAAGATACATCTTTGAAAACGAGCAACTCTGGACCATGGACTCGGATCATTGGTTATGAAGAAGACGAAGACGTCGAAGCGTTAGCCAAGTAAAACTTATATGATAACCTCATGAAAGCTGAACCATTTTCAGAGATACTCATACCATTTATGTTCCAAAATATCAACTCAACTACAGGTATAACAATTTTCAGGGGTTCACGCAGAAGGTTCAATTTGGCATACTGTACTGGGCATGCTGTTCTATGACATTATTTTCGATAACAGCGTGGAAAACGTATGGTTCAGTGAACTGCAGGTACTATTTTGTCACATTTCCACAAAATACTTAAAATAGTGATATAGTGTTATGTGGTATTTTCTGATTTTATGGTTGCGAAAGTTGTTTCTATGACTTTTGTTGATATACGTGTAGTTATTTCTAGGAAGCAATAATTTTCGTCATTAACTCAATACGAATAAATGATTTGATTAGAAATGAGTGTTCGGTGCTCAAATTCGCTTAGTTCACACTTTTTTGTTTGTGAAACCGGTGTGAAACCACTTCTTTCTCGCTAACATTGTGGTATAGTTAAGAACGGTGTAGGTTTTAATTATGGCGTTAAGCACTTCATTATCCCCTCTATTTATCACCTCATTATATTAAGTAAATTTTTGTTTAAAAGTTCTGTTACAACTTTTTCACTGTTTTCTGTATTCTTTTTGAGACCATTTTCTGTAGGAGCTCAATATCGCTGAAATCTTTTGTAAAGAGAAGTATTTGATGAAAATATTGCTCTGTACGAATAAAGCAGAGCAATTTTTTCTCAATCCAATGGTGTTTCGACCTACCAATGGTTTACCGCCCCATCGTAGCTTGGAGGTGTTCATCGGTGTCGCCTGCGATGTACAGCGGGGGATCCATCATCCGGCAGGGTCTCCCAAGCTGAGAAGGAGACCGGCGTTTCCATCAGGAAGCCCAGATAAGAGCAAACCAATGTTTGGATCCACCACCGTCCTGCTATCAAACCAGTGGCATGGTGGCAAATCCTCCTCTGATCGACAAGGGCGGCGACTGCTTATGGTGGTGATAACCTGGGGCAGACCTTGGGTAGGCTGATCTTGGTTCTCCAAGGAAATAATAGCTAAATCAGCAAAACTCCGAGAAACTGAGACTGTGATGGGGCTCGCAAAACCAGTGAAAACGGCCCGTCCATGTCTAGGTAAGTAAAGATTGCTCTGGATACCTTAAAACCAAATTCCGTTAAACCTTGGTAAACTCAATAATTTTTTCTATATGTTTGAGCTGACGCCAGGTTAGTATAAAAGTTTTATTCGGCTGAAGAAAATTTCGGCGCCTTCACGCTCTTTAAAGTCGCGGTCATCGAAGTCGATGGTCCACAACTGATTGTTCTGACGATGTGGGTGTTCGTTGTAGCGAGTCGAATCCAGTGGAGGGAGCATCGCTTGAATGGAGAACTTCACTCAGTGGTGCCCATTTATACAAAACGGATTTTGGTCGATTCCCATCGTCTGGCAATTTGGTGAGAAGGGTGTACTGTAGCAGTCGGTACTTTGTTAGCTGATTAAACCTTGGTAACGATAACAAATAATATATTTTCTCACATGATTGAGTTGACATGAAGTTAGTATAAAAAGTCATCACACGCAACACACCCACATCACGAGGAGGACCACCTCTGGACCATGGACTTGCGTCAGTGTGGGTCTGTAGATGACGAAGGCGCCGAAGCGTGAGCCAAATAAAAGTTCTGTGGAAACCACGTCGGCTCAGTCGTATAAAAAATGAATATATAAGGAAATTACTTGTTGTTGAATGTTGTTTGGAAGTTGTTTTTAAACAGAGTATTAATACGCCACAAAAATGGACATTAATGGAGAAATATTGAAGGTTTTCTTATTAGATCTTGTTGGGTTAGTTTTCAGTTTATCATTTGATTGCAAACACTAGGTATACCACAAGTTTGCTGTTACCTTGAACGTCATAGACAAAGCAATTGAACTGTATCCGTTAAAATTTCATTTATCTCCTGGTATTTGAGTTTTAGGTCAGTCTTTTTCGTCCTACTAATTTCATTTAGTTGGTTGAGTGTTTGCGGATTTCAGACGAATCCGATCGACTTGAATTCTAAATCTCTTTACGATAACCGTCAAGAACGATTCGATGAGAGATTTAAATGGGTAGGATCGGCTACAGAAGAAGAACTGACTGAAACAATACTAACGACGTGGAATGCACGAAGAAATGTGGAAACGTCTGAAATCAATTGGGAGCTGTTCCAGGACGTCGACGATTTTCTGGTGGAGCTTCCGTCGTTTTTAAAAAACTCACAGTTGCAAAAATCTAGTCTGGGAAATGCGTCGTTTTCTTTCTCAGCAGTCGCGAGGTTTTTATACAGCATATGTTTACTTCTGTGCAAAAATACATAATAGAACAATATCTGACGTTTCGACAGTATCCCCTTCTTCAGAGCCGTCTTTTCGTGCATTTCACTGAAGAAGAACCGCTGATTAGAGTCGCATGTGGTTGATTACTACGAAGAAAAACGGCTGTGAAGAAGGCGATACTGCCGAAATGTCAGCTAGTGTTGTATTAGAACAACCTAGCGATTGCTGAAAAAAAAGGACGCATTCATAATCCATTCTGGGGAACTAAACAAGTCTGCACGCAAAGCACTAAAAGTCAGTTTTTGAATCTGGGCTCATTTCTTGCCTACATTTATGGTTTTGGAGACTTCAGCAACATGTTGGGGTTTTGTTGAATTCTTCAATTTAGAAGTGTGATCTTAATTTCTTACTTCATTCCTCTTCGATGGTTGTTTTATTGACTGTGTTTCAATAACATTTGAATTTAGTGAAAACTGTAGTAAGCATTTCTTTGGTATTGAATATGTTCCATTTTTTGATGATTATAGCTCCTGTTTGGTGCAAATTTTCTTCATTCTAATAAAATGTTTACCAATACAATTTTTAGACCAATCTTTGCAGGAATTTTTCTTTTGCTGTCCTCGTTTGGGCTTGCTATCTATTTTAAAACGTATAGTAATGGACTATCGAAATTGTCGTAGTGGATTTCCGGATCTTACCATGTGGAATACGCCGACGAAGACCATTGCGGTTCGTTTCTAATTCCTTCAGGAAGGGAAAGAGGTTACTAATATGGCCAAGTCTTGGAAAGCCCATTTCAATCTTCAAGATTAAATGAATTTAATGTTCGTAAACTGCCTTAAAAGACAATGTGTTTTGAAACTTTGTTTCATTCTTATCCTCTGCGATGATTTTCTTACAAAATATTTCTTTATTGGCACTAGTAGTAACTAACCTCCGTTATTGATTTCGTATTCATCAACCTTATTCATTAAAACAGACTTGGGAAAATATTTCGCGCGTTTTTTTTCTCAATAAGTTAATGTGTTTCCTTATAGGTGGTTGAGGTTAAAGGTCCCGGCGATCGACTGTCAACAAAACAACGCCTATGGCTTGATTTTTTCACAAGGCAAAACATCAGAGCGGAAGTGTGCCATGTGATTGGTCGGTAATTTATTTATGACAGGAGAGAACTTTTTTCTACAGTTATTTCATAAATTAAACTGACTGAGCCTCGAAGAAATTATTGGAGGTTCTTAAATTATTGATGGGGCTACGGTAAGTAGATACGCTTAGCTCAGGATGGTATGGTATTTCAAATCATTAACAACGAAAACAATCTCTGAAAACGGAACACTATTTTAAAAAATTAAACTAAGCTGGTTGTTATTTTTCTAGCTTTACTTATCCAGATTCGTTGGTGAGACTCTTGAGTTGTTTAGATGTTATAGGAAGTACTCCTACAGATTTTTGCGAAGTTTTTTCCCTCAAATGCTAATCATAAGATTCTCCGTACTTTGAATCATTTATGAATAATTGGAAAATAACTTTTATCCTAAAAATAACGAATATTCATATTTTCTAAAAACCGACTTATCTAACCTCGGTGTAATTAATGGGTAGTTTCTTGGATTGCTAAGCAAACGCGAAGTTAGTAATAACTTTTATTCGAGTAACGTTTCGACGTCTTCATCTCCTTCAGAACCGGGCTGATCCGAGTCGATGGCCAACAGCTGGTCGTCCTCGCGATGTGGTTGTACTTATTAACTCATAGAGTTTATAGTTCGAGTATCTGTAATATTTACATTTCCAGCCAAGAGCGATCGCGAATTGAGGTGATCCGATCGATTGTTTTTCATCAGGACTCATTCCCAGTGTGAAGAACTGTGAGAATGGATTTCGGAGATTTGTTAAATAAGGGTTTCCATTATGCTACGCACTAGGTATATTTTGCACCCTTGTGTGTTCACTTTTTTTTTTAACCTCTTCGACTTAGCTAGGATTTTACCTCTCTTCAAGCTTTCTGTATGATTTGTCAAATGTCTACACTTCTGGTAGTAAGTTCTCCTTTGATGATTTTTATTATCGAAATGAGTTGTGGTTAACTATTCAATGCAAGCCGTTGGTGGAAATGTTTGATCAGGGGGTCTTATTGTGAGTATAAACAAAATGTTCTAGGTTGTGGTAGTTCTAAAACGTAAAAAAAACGTTGTCATTAAATTGTATCTTTCTAACTGGACAGTTGCTGCCGCATTCTTTTAAGTTCTTCCTAGTAAATAAATGAAATTGGCTGAACCAGCTATTGTAAAGCTGGTCTTGGTTTTATGAAACTGGCCATGAGCTGGCTACCCTTAGCAAACCGCGTCAACTATTCATTATTGATCTTTGTTATTTGTTGAAAATTGTTATTGAATACTGTAATCCAAGACGAAAACTATTGGATAATTATAATCCTTGGAAATCTCCGCTTCTGGTTTCTGATGATGTTGTTACCATGCTGCCTTCTTATCTACATTTTCAAGTTGCTTACTCTTTTTTTATTATCCTCATACTGTCTAAGGAATGATTTCTAATATATTGAAATATGTTATTTATGTGATGAGCATCTGCTTTTAGTCACTGTAGCGTCAGAACTATATAATCGAAAGAAGGTTGGAAACTAACATCGATAAAATGTGGTATGAGATCATCACATTGACTGTTTAGAAAATAAAGAATAAAGTTAACTTTTTATTTTCTACCTACTACAATTTCTCACAACAGGGTATTATGTGAAATACAACCATAATGATGCCGAGATATTTGCAAAGTTCAGGACCGCAGGTGTCTGCGGTGATGGATAACGAACGCGCTATTAGGCGGCAACTAGTGGGGAACTAGTCCCGTTGACGGATGATTGCTGATGGCATTGCTAGGTAGAAAATTAGCTGAGAGACGGGCGAAGCAGGAGATCCTGATGGTGTGGTGGTGAACGCGTTACTCCTCGGAAAGGGTAACAGCTCATTCGTTCCTCACCACAGACACCTGCGGTCCGGGGTTGTGCAAATATCTCAGTATCATTGAAGAATAAAGTGTTTGGTGTTAATCGTCTTAGTTAGAGGTGTTCCATTAATTCTGCTCCAATTGTATATTGATAATCTTACTTATACATATCTTATGCATGCTGCTCTACTCGCGTCCGTTGGTTGTTGCATGCATTCTGCTCTGTTCTTGTCATCTTCGCTAAGGTTGGTTGAATGCACGTTTGGTTTATACAAGGACTTATAGGGCCTTTTGATGTATTAAGCCAGTATTGGTATTCTCCAGATTTTTCTGATAATAATTTGGCAACCATGAGTAGAGACCTTAGTTTGCTAAGCGCTGTCGATGGCCTCCGTGGATGATCGATGTCAGAAAACGAGTCCAACGGAAGAAGTGCTTTGATCCGCACAGTACGTGGTGTTGGGTGATAAGGAAAAGGACGTATTATATTTATTGTTATGTGGTGTATTTGAGACCGTGTATTCAGTTCTCAAAAACAATTCTTTTTCGGTCGATACGCCAGTAAGAACAACTTCATTTTATAATCAAAATCTTAATCGTTTTATTTACTGCCTACTCTTTTTGATGGCAGGGTATATTGCGAAATATATCTTCAATGAAGCTGGAATATTGGCAAAACTCCGGACCGCAGGTGTCTATGGTGGGGAACGAACGCGCTATCGTCCTTTCCGGGGAGCAACGCGTTCAGCACCACACCATGCGGGCCCTTCGTTTCGCCTGTCTCTCGACTGGTTCTATCGATCTTTTGCCGTCAGCAAAACGAGTTTTGCCCGTGTTCGTTCCCCACCGCAGACACCTGCGGTCCGGAGTTTTGCCAATACCTCAGCTTCATTGAAGTTAACTTCATTTTGATTTTGTAAATGTCTTGATTTATATCATAATCTAGAGCTAGTTTATCAAAATGTAAACTTTTTTGACAGGATAACACGAGGTTGATAAATAATTTTATTCGGGTAGCGTTTCGACGGTTTGGTCTTCATTAGACCTGATGATTCGAGTCGATGGTCCACGGTTGTTCGTGTTCACGAGGTAGTATTCTCATCTTAGTATCGAGCGGGATCTTCCTCCATGGATATTTCTCTCAAATGAGCCATGCTCACCCGGCGATCCTTTTTATAGAGGATACTGGCTGCTGATAGTAGTGATTGTCCGGTGATAACAACTTGTTTTTCTAGCAAAATGCAAAACAATATTTAGTAACACTCTATCTTTCTACCGTAGTAAACTGCTGTAATTAGAAAAGGAAAATTGATCATAGGGTGCGATGCTGCAGACGATTTAGGGCTAGAGCGCCATAAGGATATCCTCTGAAGTATCATAGCAACACAAGATTACGCAGCTTACAAGACAGTTCAGGCCGTAACTCGTTTTCGAGGTCCAGAAGGATACATTGGACGTCGAAAGGGAAACATTGATGAATCCGACATGTACTGAGAAGTGGCGTTAGGTGGACGAAAACAACAATGGAGTGGATTTCAAGAAAAAGGAAGTGTATTCAAATATAATCATTTATAGGTCTGCTTTATAGATCGATCACGGACTAATAACACTCACATATATCATCGTATTACCGTCGCCATGGGTAAGGCTCACTAGCGAAAGAAATGGATGGAATAACACGGAAAAAATAAGTAGATAAAGATAATAAATACACTTTCGGATGAGAGTCGAAATGCCGATATTCCCAATATTAGAAGTCGTACACCAAAGTATGCTTTCCTTTACCGAAAGTTATCCATATTACGTATAAATTCTTATTAACTATCTATCATGCTTTCATGGCAGGGTATCATGGGAAAGACAACCACGACCACGATGATGCCGAGAGATATTTGCAAAACGTGGACCTCAAGCCAGATCCGAACCACGACCACCCTTGCCAAGGGCTCCCGTGTTATCCATTGAACCACTGAGCCACTTGACTTGCGTCTCTCTCAGCAAGTTTACTATACTAACAGTGCCATCAGCAATCACCGGTCAACGGGAGTGATCTGTGGAGCACAATTCGGCATTGAACCCTGTTAAGCTGAGATTCGGAGTTAAGCTGGTTTGGAATTTGTGTTTTGCAAATATCTCTGCATCATCGTGATTGTATCCACATAGCGTTTTTATTAGCTTAACGACTAAACTGGTTAGAGATGAAACCCAATGCAAATCGGCAAAGGGTTATTACACATAAGGTCTGATACCGTAACGGCGACGTGATTGTTTGTAGTCGACTACGATTAGAATAAAATGTTCAGGTCCGGTTTCTCTTGAATATTCACAGTTCCATTACTTACTGGCGAAAAAAAAGTTATTGTCACCCATTTGAAAGCGTAGGGTAATACGCGGCAATTTTTTCTTTAGTGAACTGCCAAGTCTAAAATCCATTTCATTTCCATCCTTGATTTTAATTTCAATTTCACTCTGTTAGTTTAAATTAGCTCCACTAAATTCGTAGAAGTTTGTATCATAAATACCTTATAATCGGCTATATAATAGGCCGAAAACTGAATATGTCATCTTGGAAATGTCATATCAATGCGAGTGTGAATTTCATACGACACCCGGTTATCGATTTTTTTTGACCCACATAAAAACTGAGCGCTAATGGGGCACATATTGTCGGAAACTTGTAGAACGAAAGAAATAGTAGCTTTTCTGAATTCTTGGTACAGCTATTGCTTCATTCTTTTGCTTTCGTTTTTTTTCTCTTGTTCAATTGAATAACTCTAGTTTTACACTTTACCATGCTATGAATTACATTTATTTCCATTGAGTGTGTAAACACGTAAGAGACCTAAAGAAAACGTGAACAGAAAGCTTGGGAATGGCTTAAAAATGAATATAAACTGGGAAAAATAACGGAATGAGAAAAAATTAGCAAATTGGAAAAAGGATATGTAAATTTATTTTTTGTTTATTTCATATGACCCGTCTTCACGTCTACTGTACGGATCCCAGCACTTCCCACATTCGATTCGTTTCCATGCATCCGTTATCCACGAAGATTTTCGAACTTCTACATGTGGCTCCGATTGCTGCTTGAGGATTTTCATTTCATCTTGAATGTCGTAGAATGCTCGTTGAGCTATTCTCCCTGGAGTCCTGAGATAGCAGGGCTGGGTTGTTCCCAGTTGGACTGCAG